AAATGCTTTTTTTGAAACTACTTTGTCTCCCTTTTTCTTACCTTTAGGGAGCTTCTGAAATAAGACGGTAAAATATGCTGGTGGGTTCTTTCATTCGTGTGATTCCCGTGAGTGTAGCATCCTGCATCTTAGAACAAAGACTGCAAAGGCCTCTGTCTGTGGGGATTTAGTGTCAGCTACAAATTAAAATGAGAACTAAATACCAAATATGTTCTTTCGAGCTTGGAATGTGAAACTGGCATAACAAATATGCCTATGTAGCTAAATAGTTCAATAGATGAGACATACCATCAGATAAGACTTTCTCTTTCCCATGAAATAAAAAAAAATGTAAAGCTCATTATTAATACATGGAGAGAAGTAACCATCTAACAGGAAGCAAATATTCATGTAGAATATTACTTCAGTTTATGTTGTCAATGAAAACATCATTGTGTTTTCCTGAGCTTAAACAAAATGAGCCCGCCATTACTGAAGAGTATTAAGACCTGTTAAAGCTTCAGTTATCAAGAGGAACACTGTTAAGGAGAAAAGTAGCTAGGTCACACAAAATCACAAATAATAATCATCTCATAGAGCTAATCATCCTAATGATAGACTTACAGATCTGTCACACACACCCCCAAAATGATACCAAAGGATATACACAAAAGGTAAATGTAACACCAAATAATACTACTTATTAAGCCTTAGAAATGATTGGTTTCAGACTCTTAATAATAGAACACTCTTACGGACAATCAATGGCTATGCTAACACATTTAGTCACTACTTGGTGGGGGGATTTTTGGTTCCCTTTCCACTTAATATTGTGTTTTGATAACTAGCGAACAATTAAATCTCAGCTTTACATACGGCAGTGCAGAGTAACAAAAGAAAGCATTGAGCTCAAAATCGTCCAGTGTTTGGATCTTCATTGGACCACTAATTAACTAGCTCTGAACCTTGGTAGTTCCTTTAGTTTTTGCATTTGTAAAATAGTGGATCTGTCTCTGGCCTGAAGACTACAGTCACGATGAAATGGTCCAAAGCGTCCCAGGAGTGAGATCTCTCTGCCCATACATTACACTGAAAAGATGTGAACTATTTCAGTTTCTTCTCTTCCCTCTTACAATGATGGTGCCAACCATCAGACTGAGAAATGTTCCACTGTGTTGTTTAAGAAGCACCAAGCCACCGTGTCTCTGGACCGAAAAAAATAGAAAAAGGAAGGTCGTTGACACGGATCCCTCTCTTCTGGTGGGAATCCTCCATCTTTTACACACCGGTGAAACACATCCCGCTTTCCTACGGACACCCCCAAAATCCATTTCAGTTGGTTCCCTAGTTTGGAAGACGAGAGAACAGTGTATTTGCACGTGGAAGAAATATGTAGGGAAAAACATAATGTGGGGAAAAAGAATGAAAGAATATGTGATAGAAATTCTTCAGAAAAAATCCTTACACATGTGTTTGTGCTATGATATTGTCTGTATTACTTTCCAGTTATTTAGCTTGAGAAGCTGGAGCAAAGGGTCTACATCCTTTAAATTCTGGATACTCCAGTAAGTACAGAGGGACTTCAGTGACCTTGTGTTCAGACATGTTTTTAGTCCCTACCCAGATGGAGAGGCTGAGTTTTTTATTGCTCCAAGAACTCGTGATTAAAAGAAAAGGTACATCCAAATTACATTGGTTCCTTTCTGATATGCTCCGCTCGCTGGATGCACAATCATTCAATTTGCCTTTGCTTTCACCAGCTTGATCCTGTTCAATCAGGCTGCAATCAGGCTCAATTTGTGTCTCAAGTTCATGTTCAGGGTAAAAAGTATGCTTCTTGAATTGCTCTCCAGAACAAGGAAGCACATTGAAGCTAAATAAAATAGAATTTGTTTTTTTAATCTTCAGTGTCTTTATATAGAAAGACCTTCAAGTATGTCTGTGACAGACCAGATCATTGTAGGAGCTGCTAATTTTTATATGGCAATCCTTTCCACAGGTTCCAAACACTGAGCTCATAAGGCAAGTGCCAAGAAAGCCAATCTGGTCATGGGCAAGAATATACAACGTGCAGTTGTAGCGAAAAGCTTTCGCACTTCGTCCAGCTGTGGAAGCGAAAGTCAAGAAAGTATTCATTGTTTCAATATTGTGAGTTCATTATCTATTTTTTTTGGCAAGACAATACAACAAATAGACATCGATAAGCTGAGCTCAGCACTAATATGTACCATTTCAGTTGCCAAAAAGAAAGAGTGCGCTGTATAGTGGGGATATGCTTCTTTTCAAATAGTACAGTGGCAACAAAAATATTTGCTAAATAGATAAACATATAGTTTCTTCCTTGATATTCTTCCTTTAACCAGAACATCAAACCCATAACAAAGTGTCAAAATGTTTGACTTTGTTGCTTCCCACTTTGCCAGTGTCTAGTGTACAGATGTTTCTAAAGGCTGAAAAGAGTCATAGTAGGTAGAGCTATTATTTCCTTGTACTAAAACTGTGTCACTTTTCCTGAAAAGATATATAATAATTTACATTTCCAGCTGATTTGTATTTATTCAATTAATGAGTTATTTTATAGCTAATCAAGTTTATTAAAAGCTCACCAAACTTTTAACAACTCCAACACAAATGGGTATCTTTGCTCTGTTTCATTAAGGGGGAATCAATCACAATGATCTCCATATAACACCCACCCTGGGGGACGGACAACAGAAAAGTGAGTGAAGGGAGACATCGGTCAGTGCAAGACATGAAAAAATAATAATAATTTATAAATTATCAAGGATTCCCAAGGGAGGGACAGTGGGGGAGGGAGGGGGAAAATGAGGAGCTGATACCAAGGGCTCAAGTAGAAAGAAAATGCATTGAGAATGATGATGTCAACAAATGTACACATGTGCTAGACACCATGGATGGATATATGGATTGTGATAAGTTGTACGAGCCCCCAATAAAATGATTTTTAAAAAAGAATAAAAAATATATACGCAACAAGAAAAAACTATGAGATTAAGAGTAAATCTTTCCTTTTGAATATTTTCTGTATTTTAAAAAATATATCTGTAATAAATATGTATTTTGTGAATGATCAAAAAACCTTTTAAGCTAGTGTAAAAAAAAGCACGCTATCCCGTGGGGAGAACATTAAACAGAGAAGTTGTGAGTGCCCTATCCTCTAGAGGGGAACTTTTGCTTTGTGCCTCCAAATACTTTTTCTAGGGATGAGTAGGTGAAGGAATAGAAATTAGAACTAGGCAAACAATAACTCCCTTGTGCACACAAAGAAAAATTGCCTTTAGTAAATCTACTCGCTCAGTTCATCTGTCCAGGCATCTTTCTGTACCAACCTCTCTCAAAGACAACTTGAGGAATCAGCATCAAGATCTTTAAGCGAATCACTTACTTACTTACTAAGGAAAGCTCTGTGGGAAAGAATGGCCATTTCTCTCATCGTGGTTTAAAGCTTCTCTCAAGCTAAATTCTGATGGAAGTTCTAAGAACTTTGTGTTCGGAAGTGTAGATAATGAGTAAGTGTAGAAAAGGAATTGATTCTCATTCAGATATAGAACAACAGAAACTGACCATGAAGGGTGTAATTATGATTCATACAGAACGTTGGTATCATGGGCATCGTAAGCAATGCATGCAATGGGGTTGAACTGCCCATTGCCAGTGAGCTGTCCACACAGGGCAGCCTAGATCTTGTCAGGGATTGAGGACTACCGGGCCTCCTGGGAGTCATAGGTTCTCATCTGAACTATCCTGAAGTGTGGGGAGTTCAAAGGAATTTTTTATCCCAAACTAGGCGGATTAGAATGATAGGAAATCTGTCTGTGTTTTCCTACATGTCGGAGAAAAGTGTGGCATCTACTCCTCTCATTAGCAGTAACACACAAACAAAAACCTTGAAATGTGATATTATTTGGGTACACCATGTATCCTAGTGACTTGCTGGCTTAATCACTAATGTAGGCTATTCAGGAATACGGCAATAAGTGGGGTAATAACTCTTGTTTGTTGTGACTGATGAATTTCCTAGATCTCTAGGTCTGAAAGTCATATAAAAGGATGGGTGGGGAAAATAATGACCTGATTCATGATGACACAGACCACATAGCAACACAATGGAACGGAAGACAGCATGAACCTGAGATTTGGCCCTGGGGTCCCTGTTACAGACCTGTATCTCCTAAGTTGGATAACACAATGCATCTCCGGAAGGCCTTCAACTAGCCATTGCCACGGAGTCGATTCTGATTCATAGCGACCCTGTAAGACAGAGTCGAACTGCCCCAGTAGGTTTCTCAAACTGTAAATCATTACAAGAGTAGACAACCTCACCTTTCTCCTGTGGAGCAGCTGATGTGTTTGAACTTCTGACCTTGTGGTTAGCAGTTCAGTGTGTAACCTACTATATCACCAGGGCTCTCTTTTCTTCAGGCCTCAGAGCCTGGACTTTCATTGGAAGATATTTTAAGATCTGAAATTCTCCTATCTCCCCTCTTAATGGTCGATTTAACAAAGGTCCACGTCTCTCATGCTTTCTTCAAAGAATTAGACTTCTGTTGAGCATTCCCACATCTTTCTCCTAAGCAAGAGGGTGTTTAAAAAGAATGTAGAAAGCTCAGGCTTCCTTCTGGAGAGATTCAAGTATTGTGAAATGGCTAGAGTCTCATCTCAGCCCAAATACTTTATCTTTTAGAAAATTGACATCGCTTAGACAAACTATCAAAAGAAACTAATAAGGTTTAAAGAGCAGAAAGGAAAAAGATTCTTCTGTATTTCAGTATTAGAGCAAAACATGACCATCCAAACGTGTTTTTCAATATAACACACACAGAGTCCTAACTTGGCTTCATTTGCTTTAGAAATAAATATATATATATATATATCTAAATGACCAGAAGAGATTCTCTTATGTGCCTGCTTTTAAATCTACTAAAATGTTACACCAGTGGCATGGAAAGCATTGCCGGGGAATTCAGGATGCAGTAACTGAAAACTGAAATCACACAAACCCTTGGGTCCTTCGTCCTTGGGTGGGTGAAGGTTCCTAACCGGATCTCGGATGCTGCAGTCTGTTCCTGCCCAGGTGAAATCGCAGATACAGGTCGCTTCATTACTGCACACCTGTGAAGAAGGAAGAAGAGTCGGGCACTTTAACTGT